GAATGAGAACATGATTGTGGATCCTTTGTTTTCAGAGCTTAATGATGTAGATGACAATGGAATACCAAAAGATGTTACCTCGGATGATCCACCATTTTCGTGCACCAGTGTTCAATCTACTGATGTAAATACGATGCAAACAATACCGTCTGCTTCCAAAACCCCCGTTATACCAAGCCCTGATTTATCGGATAATTGCAACAATATAAATATTCAACCTGAAACACCAATCATAGCAACAAAAGAAGTAAAACAATGGCAGCCACTTCCAAGCACTAGCTCAGAATTTCAAATTTGTAGTGTAACTCCGACTGCAAAGAAAGTCATGCAAGAATTGAGAAAAGGAAGTCGTAAACCACAATCGGCAATAGAGTTAACTGCTTCCCCATATAAAACACAATTGGAAGAGTCAAAAGCTAAAGCATCCAAAACAAAATCTGATGCTGAAAAGAGAAAGAAAGTTGCTGCATTAAACTTGGAGAAAACAGTAAAATCTAATAGACGTCCAGAAAAACAAATAAAGAAAGACGCGAAGAGAAAGAAAGTACCAGCTGCGGAGTTAGAAAAATGGTTCTGCAAAATTTGTCTCCATTGTGCTATTGAAGACATGATACAATGTTTGTCATGTAAATGTTGGGTCCACGAGGAGTGTGCTTGCGTTAAAAAAGGGATCAAAAAATATATTTGTCCATCATGTACTGATTAATGGATCTCAAATGTCTGAAATTATTGATTAAGTTTGAATCTTGATTTCTTTTAGATATTGAAATTTTTTAATTAATGTTCGGAGAATTTTTTATATCCCTGAAGATGGGTTTAAGTTTTATGTTATTGATATTAGTACAGAAAAAGTTTAACAAAATTTTTTTAACAATGCTCAAAAATTATTAGGTTAAGTTTATCGTTGTTCAGACTAGTATTTTTAGTTTTTAAGAATTTAACACTAAGTACTCTGATATTCCTATATTTTTTTCTATGAAGATTTTAGTATGTAGCATTTTAAAAAAGTGATTACATGGTATTAAATATAAGGACCAAGAAGACTGTATTGTGAGCCAATGTTAAAATAATTAATATTAAAATAATGGTTAAAAACTTAAGTACCTCAAGTTGTTGTTTTATAATTTTTATATTTTTTTGGGAAACATTTAAAAAATGTTATATACATACACGGTATTAAAACCAAGAAGACTGTTTCATATGCCTATATTGAAAAATGACTTAATTAGTAACATAAATGTTAAAATAATGATTAAAATGTTCATTTCTTTAAATTGTAGTATTATTATTTTGTCACCTTAAACCATGAAATTTCCGAGTTCCCATCAATGGACCGGTCGACTCATTTTCCTAAGTCCAATGATAGCAACAAAGTGGTCCAATGAACGTTCCAGTGGTCCAATCAAAGAAACCTTAACAATAATCATTTTACCCATTTATTGACTCTATTTACTATTTTAGAATTCTGAAACTTTAGGTATTTACACAGGAATACAAGAGCACTTCAGTAACTAAATCACTTTTATTCCACATTGCATACATTCGTTTTTTTAAGCATTTTAACAAAAGTGGTCCAATCATCGCAACCTTACCCTATTTTTCTTTCAATTGTCATCTAACACTAGCTGGCTAAGGCTGGACATAGGCGTGTTCAAAACATTTAAAACAAACTCAGACGCCGTTCGTCTCGCTCCAGTCTGAAAATTCTTGTCTGACAATAATGGAATATTTTTCAGTTCACCTGATGGTAAGTGAATTCTGCTGCCCACGCACACCCTTATCTTAATTCTAGACAAAACGTATTACATAAATAAACAAGCTGTTTAGTAAGTGACAACGAGACTCTATCACGTACAAATCATCTTTTGCCAGTCGTCGACAGGATTTTACTGGAATTCCAGACACGGGAGAACACACGAAAACGGAACGAGGAGACGGTTTCTCTACGCCGATACTGTACGACGATTTTCTCACTCAATGCATATACAATTTGACTATACAATTGAAATTATAGACTACGACAACACGTTTCGACGTGGTAGAGCCACACTGCAGGTATATTATGAATGCAGCACGAATACAAGGACACAAGAATTCAGTGATAGAGACGCGGGACAATCACAACACTACCAGAACGAAAAACAACATAATTTAATATGAAGAATTTTGTACAATCGACTTCAATATAAATTATTAAGAATAACTCAAAGACTATTGGTGAGACCTTGATCAAATTTATATGGGACCACATGAGAAGCACCAGCTTTCAAATGAAAAAGAATCATCGAAATCGGTTCACCCAGAAAAAAGTTAAGAAGTAACACACGTAAAAACAAACATACAGTCGCAATGAGTACCATCTGCTTTTTGAAGTCGGTAGAAAATTGAGTTTTTTTGGCAAGTGTTGGCTCCTACTGGAATTTAAACTCAAAAGCCCGCACAGTAGTAACTAGGTGCTCTACCCGTTTTCCGATTCTACTCATAATGATGACGGGGGTGAGGGCCGAGGATTCGAATCCCTCACAGATCACAGAATAATACTGGACCGTATACTGGTGGTGTAAGACACTATCCCATATCGTTTGTGGGTGTCGTAAGAGGAGCCAGAGGGGAAAAAACTAGATGGGCAAAAGCGTCTTCGTAATAAAAACCAGAATATAAAAAGCAGGTTGCCAACCCGCCTGCCAAGCGTGGCAACTATGGCGAATAATCCCCCTATGAGGTAATCTATGGGAAGCCTATGTTCTGCAGTAAACATTTGATAGGCTGAACTAACAGCTTGGATGTTCGTCCGTGTGCAGTTTATGTATGTAAAGTGCCTCCACGATAAAAGGAAAATCCTTATGAGTGGATAACGTTTTTTAAAAAAAATGAATAATAATCAAATGTATTTATTTATTTTATTTATTTATTCTTTATTGCACTAAATATTTGTACAAAAGGCGAGCTTAATGCTATATGGCATTCTCTACCAGCTAACCTTGGGTAGAACAGAAAGTGAGTTTGGGCAGTTAAGTTGTCATGATATAATTCAGTTCTAATATATACATGCAACACATACATAAAATATATACATACATATATACATATACATATATATATATATATATATATATATATATATATATATATGTATATATGTGTGTGTATGTATGTATATATATCTCAATAAATGTATATATAGATAACTATAAACATATAAAGTAAGTTGATTCAACTTTGTACGCTACGTATATTATGCTCATATAGTTTTCTTTTAAAAACATTTTTGACAGGTATTGTTCGCAGGCCAACAGGAAATTTGTTCCAGAGGGTAATGGAAGTAACTGTGAAAGAATTTGACATAGACCCAGAATGGTGGAGAGGAGTAGACAGGATTAAACTGTGTGAAGAACGGAGATTGAGAGAATGAGTGTCACTACAGAGTTGAAATCTTTCTTGTAGATAAAGGGGTGAGGAAGGATCATTAAGAACTGAAAACAGAGTGGACAGGATTCGGAAATCTCTGCGCTGGCGTATAGTCAACCACTTTAACTGAGAGCGAAATTCTGAAACGTGATCATATTTGCGCAGGCCAAAGATGAATCGGATACAGTTGTTAAGTAACCTGTCCAACCTGTTTAGCAGCTCCTGAGAAATATTAGTTAGGCAACATCGGCATAGTCAAATAATGAAAGAAATAGAGATTGGACGAGAAGACGTTTAGCTGAAAGAGGCAGAAAGAACTTAAGGCGATAGAAGGAACGAAGTATGCCTGTGACTTTACGACAAACCTCGGACACCTGTGATATCCAACTAAGAGACGGGTCGATAATTAAACCCAGATCCTTGACATTATTGTATGTATTATGATTATATATATTATATTTTATATTATTATTATTATTATTATTATTTAATATATATATATATATTATACAGATGTATTCTGATTAATTGTTCGCTAGAAATATCTAAAACTATCAAGCGAGCCAAATAGGTATCTATTTTTTATCTCTAGATGTCTGTTTAAATAATAATAACAATAATATCGTTTTGGCATTGTTGTTACTGACAAAAGAAGTCAATCGCCTGCATAAGTGTTTACAGATTACGTTAGAAAAACAAGATAGCAGTTTTTCCATAAGGCACAATCTTGTGCATCAACGAAGGTCCAAAACAAACAAACAGACTAAACTGGGATTTTTTTTAATAATGTACTTATTCTATATTCTCGGCATCCCTAAAATAGTAAATTGCATTTTGAAAGCCAAATTAGGTTCTACGTGCTTGAGATATACCTACGCGTCACGTTAAGTCCGGCTACCTGCATTGGGATTGGGAATCGAGAAAATATCATCAGCTTCACTACCATTCCAATCATTATATTACATGTATAATATGCTTAATGCATTTCATGGCTTTTAATGTTATGTCCAGTTTTTGGGTTTCGTGGTCAAGGAACCCTTATAATATTGATTTTTCGGCTGTCTTAATATTTCATATAGTATAATAACGAAAACGTATACAAATTATATTTTTACTCAACAAGTAAACAGGAGATCCAAATTTTTGAGACTATGCATAATAATTACGCTATCATTAGATAAGGCTTTTAAAATAGTTATAAGGTTCCATAAACTAAAAATAACAAGACTTAACTTACAAATATCAACGTTGGTCAAGATTCAAATTAACTTGCAACGTGTACCCGCTCTCCGTTTTTTGGTAAAAATCCTTGAAGATCAGCATACTAATTACACACGATTAAAATTATATCAACGGTGTTCGTAATAGCATTTAATCTTTAGAAATTATTTAATATAAAAATTGTATACTAGTTGGGAAGTTTTGCACGTCCTAAAAAAATGGCTCCGTGGCGCAGTGCCAATGACGCGGGTTCGAATCCCGCACGGAAGAACTATGAATAAATGTTAAGCGTAAGGATGTTTATCCTTGTTAAATTTATGTATGTAACGTTTTAAGAAAAAAGCAAAATTAAAAAATAACACTGGACTCACTCGAAAGCAATCGTCGGAAACGCTGTAAACGCCAACATTTCTATCCGAAACCCCTATCATGTAGGCCTGGTCCATATTCAATGATGTTAAGTTTAGGCCCCCATACTCCTCTACCCCAGGGTCCTCCAACCACGACCTCATTACATCCTTGTACCATTGCCAAGTGTTTTTCTCGTACACCGATTCATTCATTGTCACTGTTAAAAAAAGTTAAATTATCGAAATACAGGAAACTTTTTCTTTTCAACTAGCAGCGCACATTTTAAATTCGCCGGGCAGTTTCGCGATGCATTCACCACGTTCGCGTGTATACTTAGGACGGTGCAAAGTGGTACTGCCGGTGCCGGAATAACCGGTACCGCTCGCGTCTCTGTCTCAAGAATAATTGGCTTTCTACACCCGCATGTGAAAAACATTGAGGCAATGAGACGAAAGTGCGTCGGCGGCCACGCGCTGCTGGTGCAGTTTTACGTACAATTGTCATAGAGCCAATTATTATTGTTTTCTTTTTCTTTTTTTATGGGAGAAGGGTGACAAACGAACGCATAGTCCACCATCCTCTATCGAGAATCAAAATGCAGATGCTTTGTCACTTTAGATATGTTTTCCCACCATACAGAAGACGAAAGCATTATCCTGCTGTTTCAGGCTAGTTTCCTGTGTGCGCTTTTGTAATAATAGTCGGCCAAGAACATGCTATGCGCAGTAGTTGTTATAGGCACGGAATACATATAGTGAAAGCAATGTTCTCGATCAATTTTTTAAATTATTTTAATTTACAACAGCATGTTTTTTTTTTAAATAAATATTTGCCCATGTGCTCTTACAAATTTATTATCGATGCACATAAATCAATTTCTCCATAGGTAGGTAATTATCATGCGGAAATTTTTTTGTTACACTTCTTACGATTGCTTAGTCGCTTTCTATCAAAAGGCAAAACAATTTTCTTGAAGTAAGTTCTAAAATATTGCCTCGAGTAATTTAATTTTACTGTAAACATGATGTCCGAAGTTCGTGTTGGGCCACGCAAAAAAGAGGTAGGGTTCCGTAGTTGCCCGTCACAATACGTGGGCTTTCTTGATAATGAACATATTAACTGAGTTCGCGCTTTGACCTCTATAACGACTAAAATGGGCCTAAATAGGAAGATGGTAACTAAAGGACTTATTTTCCAATCAGACTTAGGGGGAGTGGTATTCAAAAAAGATTAAAAGACTTTTTGATTTTGAAAATAATACAATCTACATCTATCAAATCATTCACATGCCAAGTCCGTACAAATATGGTCATAGTTGGACTATCTATCTATATATTCCCGGACTGCCTTGTTGGTCTAGTGGTTGTAGTAGTGCAATTGCTGATCATGAGGTCCCGGGTTCGAATCCCGGGTCGTGTCAAAAAATTCTGTTATTGAGTTTTTCCATCAAGAAATTCTCAGTAGCTGCCCGGTGTCAGGAAGTTGGCGGTGTCTCACCGCCGTGCCACGGAAAGCACGTAAAGCCGTTGGTCCTGCGCCTGATCTCTTCCGGTCGTATCGGTTTACCGTTCCATCGGACTCTGAGATTTAGGGAATAGAGCGTGCACCTGTGCTTGCGCATACACTTGGCCACTATAATCCTGTCCTGCGCCGATGGCTAGTCTCCGTTGAGACTGGCCGCCGTGACTGAAATACGGTCTGGAGGACATTATATATCCCCGGTAGTGCAACCCTAAGGTATACATATTATATTACCGTAACGAAACTTCACGTAAACCATCACTGCCCTAAATTATCCGGTCGCCCGCGTAAACCAAGAGTGTCACTAATGAAACTGTATGAGGCTATATGATTGTATGAATACTTTGCATGAGGCCTACAATAACTACCAACTAAAAAATAAACGAAAGTAGAGAGTAAGAAAGATCTACTCTGCCTATCCCGCAAAGGTAAAATTAAAGCTATATTAGTAATGCATGTAAGTTGTTTTCTTCATAAAATGTTTATTTATTTTACTTTTTACAGTTTAAAATAACATTACAAAATTTTAATGCAGTTAGTTTTAGGTCATTTTCTATGGAGTTGTAAAGATTTTTTTAACTAATGCAAGTGCATTTCTTAAGTTGGCCGACTATTACTCGTTAACTTGTTAATTCTTCTTAACTGTGGTAGTTTTCTGCGCCCAAAGCAAGGCTACCCTCCGGAAGCGGGGGAGGGAGGTTGGTGAATGCTCATAGCATACCACGTAGCCGGCTGCGTGGTTATGTGGGACTCACTAAGAAGTGTCTACCCACTAAACACCACCTGTGGGCTTGGCTTTGGCCTGTATGGCCTTTCTGCTGAATCGAAAGCGACCCCCTTCAGGGAAAAGGAGGCGCAGGGGAAAAGGGGGGCGCAGACTGAAAATGGTGCGCAGATGATAGTTTTCCTTTTAACTTCATTATATATACTACTATTGTGTATACTTTTTACATTTCTAATAGTTGGTAGAAGCGAATAGGGGGCGACACGCGACTCAAATTAAAAATACCACTTTAAAGCTAAATATTTCGCAAACGGACCCCTGAATCGAAAAGAGGTTCTTCCTTACCCCAGTGTTTTGAAAGACCTATCCAACGATACCCCATACGGTTGAATAGACGGATAAAAAAGCATCCTCCATTTACCTGTATGGGGAGGTACCCAAAATATTTTTTTAAGATTTCACAGTTTTTCTCTAATAACCATGCCAAATTATAGATTTGTAGCACCTAAGCTCTCAGAGTATAACCGCGGAGGGATGGACGGCATGGCGAAACTATAAGGGTTCCTTGTTGTCTAACTACGGAACCCTAAAAAGTATGTTGAGTAAGAATCAAATTACTTTTTAAAAATGTCGACAACTTCGACATTCAATTCGAAAACGGTTATAATTTTCTAATATTATTAAAGAATTGTTCACATCTTTATCTGCGAGTATCCTGATTGTTTATGTAAATTGTACTGATTTACCAGGTGGTTGACGGTTAAAAGAACATCGTGAGAAAACCTGCATGTCGAATGAAAAAAATACTTCAAGAACGTGTGAAGTCCGCGGGCAATCAATGGAACATCTCCAGAACGGCGGATTAACTGACACCATTAAGAAGTCCTGTATCCAGCGGTGAAATGTATGTAAACTGTACTTGGCTTTACTTTGACAACCTTTTAAAGGGAATAATGTTTTTGGTGTGTACATGTTATGCATATGTGAACAGCTGTAGACAACAGTTTCATGGATTTTGAGGTTCGATGAGTCGGTGATTTATAACTTCGTTTTCGGAATATAATAAGCTGCATTTTATGGTCATAATACGACTCTCGCAAAACAAAATAAAAATAAAAAGAAAAACCCACGACAGTTTAGAAAGTTGTATTCGAAAAAGGATTAAATAATAATTTTAAAAACCACTGACTAAGAGGAAGTAAGTCAAGAAAGAAAAAATAAAATTGGGGCTGCCATTCCCTGTCCTGAAATGAACATTTCAATTGTCCTGAAATGAACATTTCAATGTTCATTTCAGGACAGGGTATGGCAGCCCCGACGGATTTCCTTGGGTTTGTAAATATATTACCTAATAGGTAGGTGAATACGTGTAGTACATTCATATATTTGATGTTATTGCTGTGTTTATTGCTAAGACAAACAAAAAGGTACACAAAGGTAGGAAGAACTAAGGAAAGTCATAATTAGTTGTTTATTATGACAGACCTCGCGAGAAATCAACCCTTTTTATTTTTTCTTTCGTGACTTATTTCCTCTTAGTGAGGGGTTTTTAAAATTATTATTTAATCCTTTTTCGAATACAACTCTTTTAACCGTCGTGGGTTTTCAAAATTTTTAAATTTGCTTTTTATTTTAGACTTTAGAGAATTCCTGCGTTACTGACTAAATATTTGTATAACTTTCTATCTACTCAACAATTTACGAGTAGAAGAACTGAGCATGGAACAGTAGCAGCTACTTCTGTTGAGGACTCGTGTTCCTATAGAGAAAAAATTTGTCGACGGGAAGTTGTTCGTATAAATTCCAACTTACAACTCGCCAACGCATTCAATCAGACAATGTTAATCATGTTAACCAAACTAACAACGAAATTGTACGTGATAAATGCAAGAGATGAGACCAGGGAACCCAACAACTATGGACAGAAACCGCCAAATGAAAAAAAAAATGTTTTGGAGGACCATCACCAAAGTGCCCGAAGGCAAAGGACAACGCCTGATGATTGCGCATGCAGGGACGGCAAACGGCAACGGCAAACAAACAAACATGTACCCAATTGTTTGTTGGCTTTCAAATCAACAAAAACTACAGAATATCATGAGGAGATGAATTTCAAAAAGTTCAAAGAGTGGTTTATAACATTACTAGAAAATCTTCATGAACCACATATGATTATTATGGAGAACGCGCCGTACCATTCCCAGAAAAGGACAAAGCTCCAACATCCGCAGCAGAGCGAAGGCATTGAAGGCAATGAAAATATGTTGAAACACAAATTGGTCCGATTAGTGAAAGAAAACAAACCCAGAAAGCCAATCTACATTTTGGAAGAAATCGCTGAACAGCATGGTCATACGGTGCTTAGATTGTCACCATATTATTGCCATTACAATGCCATCCAACGGATTTGGGCTGATGTCAAAGGTTTGTTTTTTTTTTTGTCATTATATCTAGTACCTACGTTTACTACATATATAGATACTTATTTCTTTTTTAGGTCATGCATCCAAACAACACATCTCCGCCAATTACAGCTAAGAAAATGCTGACTTTATTGCAAAATACCTGTGATAACGTTACTGCGGATGACTGGAGAAAAGTCGTAGAACATACAAAAAAATTTATACTAGAAGACTGGGAGTGAGACGTCCACTTTGACAGAGTTTGTGAACAAGAATTAATAATCAACGTAAGGGACAGTTCCAGTAGTGAGCCTAGTGATGATGATGATGACCTATATGAACTTGATTTAGGTTGTGCAGCATTCTTTTAATAATAAATAACTTTAAGCTACAATTTATTGTTTTATTTCGCACTAAGCCCTTTCAAAAAAAAATATTTCGGCTCACACGGTTCTACTAAATAGTCTGACTGACCGAATAAAAATATACATGAAGCGAAATCGTTATTGTGGGAGGGATTTTATTATCGTATCAATAATTTATTATTAATTCAATAGATAAAAATTGTTCAAAATTCCAAATCTATACAATCTATCGATTGCCAGTTACAATAATAATAGAATAGATACATTAACGATTATGCACCCAGTGGCTTTTATCTTAATAATAATTTTATTTATTACTAAGATAAAAGAAAATATGAGGAAATGAGACTGGAACTGTAATCTCCCACCCGTTCTAGCAGTATTAGGTAGCGCGTAGGCGACTTAGAGGGGTCAGCCAGTAATTCTACGAGCCACTTGTCGTTATTATGCCCGTTGGGCTAAAATCTCTACACCGAGATTCTGCCTAAGAAAGACAAGTGACGGAATCCCCCCAATTGTACTAAGGACGTGTGCTCCGGAGTTGGCACCAGTTCTAACGTGTCTTTTCCGGTACTCCTACTCCGGAGGCGTAGTCCCGAAATCATGGAAGACAGCTTTTGTCCACCCGATCCCTAAAAAAGGCAATCGCTCAGACCCGTCCAACTACAGGCATATCGCCATCACCCCCTTGTTCTCCAAAATAATGGAATCCGTTATAAACTGCCAGCTCATGGGGTACCTTGAGGATCACCAGCTGATTAGTGACCGCCAATACGGTTTTCGTCGGGGTCGATCAGTTGGTGATCTTCTGGTCTACCTGACTCATAGATGGGCGGAGGCAGTAGAGTCCAATGGGGAGGTTGCGAAGGCCTTCGATCGGGTTTGGCACAAAGCGCGTCTTTCGAAGCTCCCTTCCTATGAGCTTCCCGAAAAATTGTGCAATTGGATCACCAGCTTTCTTGCAGATCGGAGCATCAAGGTCGTTAACGCTGGTGTTCCACAACGCTGCGTGCTATCACCAACGCTGTTTCTTCTGCATATCAATTATATGCAGAAGAAACAGCGTTATATCTTGCAAATCGGTAACATTCATTACTATGAGGGTGACAGCACAGGTGATGCTCTATACACCGGCCGTGCCAATATTTCTCGGGAAAACGTCGCCGAGTACCGGAACAAACTTGTGTCTGAACTGTGTCTGAAGTCGAATCTTTGCTGAACAAAGTCTTGGATTGGGGGCGACTAAATCTAGTCCAGTTTAATACTCAGAAGACACAAGTTTGCACGTTTACTGTTAAAAAGAACCCCTTTATCGCATCTCCTCAATTTCAAGGCACTCCCCTTGTTGCCTCAGCCAGTATCGGAATCCCCGGCGTCGACATATCGAGTGGCGTGCAGTTTCGTGGTCATTTGGAAGAGAACGCCAAATTGGCCTCCAAAAAGCTTGGCGTGCCCAGCAAAGCGGGACAGTATTTCATGCCGGCACAACGCCTGCAACTTTACAAGGCGCAGGTTCGGCCTCACATGGAATACTGTTCCCATCTCTGGGCTGGGGCTCCCCAGTGCCAACTCCTTCCACTTGACCGCATCCAGCGCAGAACGGCTCGAATCGTCGACGACCGAGTCCTTTCCGATCGGCTAGATTCATTAGCGCTGCGAAGAGATGTTGCATCCCTTTGCATTTTCTTTCGCATTTACCACGGGGAGTGCTCTGAGAAATTGTTCGGATTAATCCCCGCCTCCAAATTTCATGAACGCACATCGCGGCAGAACTCCCGAAACCATCCACACCATCTGGATGATTGGCGGTCCACCACTGTGCGATTTAGAAGATGTTTTCTTCCTCGCACACTTCCTTGTGTAATCGATTACCATCTGCGATTTTTCCGGACCGATACGACTTAGGGACCTTCAAGAAAAGAGCCTACTCCTTTTTAAAAGGCCGGCAACGCATCTACAATTCCCTTGGTTCCCCTGTTGTTGCGGTTGTTCATGGGCGGCGGTAGTCACTTACCATCAGGTGAGCCGCATGCTCGTTTGCCCCCTCTCCTATAAAAATAAATCTGGTTCTGTTCGTGAAGTAGTTCTTCTAGTCTAAGCAAGGAAGATCGAGTGGCAGAGAAGCTAACCTGTGTTACATTTAGATGAGTAGTGTTGCTGTTGCTTTGCATACTTTGGTAGCACCAATGTATGTATGCATGTATGCACAAACTCATGTAAATTACACACGTTACACCATTGTGATTGTGTCTGGTACATATTACGGTTGATCAAATTGTATTTGCTCTATACTAAATGTGTAATGCTGTACGCCGTCTTATACCTGATAATGATTAGTTGCGTAAGCAAGAGTTCTAGTTGAACATCCGCTCTCACACTTTTATTATTTTTAACAATTAACCTTCACAGTAATTTCTAATAATAGTAATAATCTTTTATTTAAATAATTTCTAACAATATATTTATTAGCGATCCGCCCCGGCTTCGTATGGGTGATATTTGGATCTCCACAACAGTACCACCTACTGGGTCCAATTGTGAATCTAAACCATCCAAGGACCCACTCAAATACACACATATTTTTTTATCAAAATAGGTCGAGCCGTTTTTGAGTTTCTTTACGTGGTAGAGCCATGCTTTTACGCGGTAGAGCCATGCTGCAGCTATATTAATGGTATAGTTGTAGCACGAATGGGTCAGCTCGACCGGGGAAGGACCACGCTCTTACAGAATACCAGCGTAAAAAAGCAGCTTAATGCTGCTGTATTTCGTATGGTGAGTGTAGAGAACCGGAGACCCATTTTACTGGAAAAGAGGCATTCTATCTTAGTCCTCACAGCTGGCAACGCATCTGCATTTTATTTCGCAAACAAATATAGATGTAGATGTCTATGGGCCACAGCAAACACTTACCATCAGGTAGACTGTGTGCTCGTTTGTCAAAAAGAAACTAACCGATAGCAATAGATTTTTTTTATTACGCAGACAACACAATCCAATTCATACATATAGATAGAGATCACAACCGAGGCCGAGGATTCCGATACTGGCCGAGGCAACACGGTGAGTGCCCTGAAACTGAGGAGACACGGCAAAGGGGTTCTTTTTAGCGGTAAACACGCAAACTTGTGTCTTCTGGGGATTGAACCGAATTAAATTTAGTAGCTCCTAATTCCAGACTGTTCAAAAAAGTCTCAACTTCAGACGCAAGTTTGTCCCGGTATCTGGCGACGTTTTCCCAAGAAATAATGGGATAGCCGGTGTATAAAGCATCACCAGTGCTGTCGTCCGCATAGCAATGAATGTTACCGGTTTGCAACATATCATTGATGTGCAGAAGTAACTGCGTTGGTGAGGCTCACAGCCTTTTGGAACACCAGCGTTAATACACTTGTAATCGGAGCATGAACCGTTTATTGTGCAATTGCTTCACAAGCTTTCTTGTAGATTGGACCTTGATGCTCCAATCTACAAGAAAGCTTGTGAAGCAATTGCACAATTTCTCGGGAAGCCCATAGGAAGGGAGCTTCTAAAGAACCGCTGTTTGTTAAACCCAATCGAAGGCCTTCGTAATGTCTAAACTAAAGATCAATGCCTCCAACTTCGACTCTACTGCCTCCGCCGATCTATGAATCAGGTAGACCAGAAGATCACCAGCTGAAGCCTCAAGGTACCTTATGAGCTGGCAGTTTACAATTGATTCCATTATTTTGGAGATAATGGCGATAGGCCTGTAGTTAGACGGGTCCGAGCGGTTGCCTTTTTTAGGGATCAGGTGAACCAAAGCTATCTTCCATGAATTCAGCATGAAGTCTAGGGAGTTATGAGTAACGTAGCGTAGCGTAAGCGTTAAGTAAGGACGCGTTACAACCGGTTCCATCTCCGGAGCACACGGCTTCAGCACAATAGAAGTGACTCTATCAGGACCACTCGACTAGTTAAGGACCAAGGAGACCAAGCTTTGCCCACCGACCGCAGTGTAAACAGCACATCCTGCGTAAAGCACTCACACTGCGGGATGGTTGGCGTCGTGTTTCCCCCGTCATCGAGAGTCGAGTTGGACTCAACGAGAGAGTTTAGCAGATCGCCTTTTTCTCTTGCGACATGGGCCAGTGAGTGGTCCTCCCTGTGCAGAGATGTTAGAGACGGCTGACAGAAGTTTCCTTTGACAACCTTGCCGAGAAACCAGAATGCACGTGTACCCGAGGGAAGTCGAACTAGTTTCTCGCCAATTCTGCCTTTGCCTTGCGAATGACACTTTTGAAGGACCTGGAAGCGAAATTATACTTCTTTTTAAAAGCGCTTGTATTTGCATCCCGAGACGTTCATGCGTTAGCCCAGGCCCAGGCAATTTTACAGGTGTGACCAAGCCATGGCCGAGTACTAATAGGCTTGATAGGCACCACAGATGATGGAATAAAATGTTCCATTCCGTGAAATACCACATCAGCGACAGAATCAGCAACAACGTTGGGATGATCCGGCGAAAAGGTACCCCCCCCCCCCCTCCAGGGTAGGATGCAAAAACAAACCACATCCTGTTCCAATTGGCCAACCAATAGTGCTTAACACGGCGGCAGCCCACAGGACGCAACCGCGAGGTAGCGTGAGTGGCACCGTACTCCGGATCAGACAATAGTCCGAAGAGCCAAGAGGGGCATCGACGGACACCTATATCCGTCCGGATGAAAGTCGGCAGAAGGTGCCACAGGGAAGGTGCATGATCCTCCACATTTGGGATCCGCGTAAGCGAAGTAAGGAGTTGTGTGAGACCATAGGCCAAGGCAAAGTCATAAACAGATCTATGATCGGTTAAACAGGAACCAAGCCATCCAGCGTGGTGGGAGTTAAAATCACTGAGGATTACGATCTCTCCAGATGGGACTTATTGTAGCACGGAGTCTGCAGCCATTTGGACGTGGTCGATGAATGAGTCTGTATAGGCATTACTTATATGGAACCTATAGAGGCACCCGTAGACGCAGGGATGTTTGTCGCGGTCTACGCACAGCTATAGGATGGACAGGTCCATTCCATCAAGACTGCAGAGGCGTTGATAACAGTGGATGCTTAGCGGGGGATCTCCGCCACCAAAGGTGCTGGTACACTTCTGGGGTAGTGTTTTATTTAATTCCTCTTCCATGTTAAGGGAGGTGAGGGGAATCGGGCCTCCGTCCACTTGTTGCCAGGTACACTTACCTTACTTGTTGTTGCTCCGTACACTTACCAGGTGAAACGCAGAAGTAAACTTCTACCGGCCCATCCATGCGACAAAAAAAGCTGCCGCGTGGCTCTACCACTGTTACAAACGCTTTTACGCTTGGTTCTCTGCACCATAATTCTATAATTTATTACGTGACTTACACTTCTATGTTGTGTCACACATCAAATTGAACGTCGAAGACCAAGAAGTAAGAATGGAATTTAGTCTGAATATTTTAGGTTCGCTTTACTATGTACTATAAATATATAATTTTATTTTACCTCGTTAGGTGTGAATACCAAAAATTTATTTACACTATACTATATTACAAATTTATAACGGTGACTGTTACGACTATTTAGAGACTAATGTTCTGGATAGGAAGACGAACTTTACTCGCCCTGGAATATATTACTTAGCCACCAAAGAGCCTGACCCCTACCATGTTTCCAAAGACAACCTTACGGAGTCAAGGCATACTTATTAAAAACGACCCTCGGCGGCGATCTTGTTGATACAATTTGGAAATAAAACACAAGTTTATATCGCAGCACTTTATTTATAATTCCATTCATTACAATATACAAAATGCATAAATTGATTTCGTTACACGTAGTAGAAATATGACTGGTAAAAAATCTATCTAAATCAGTATATACAGAGGACGTGGTTACCTTCAGTCGATGAACAAGAAATCCTCATTGACTCTTTGAGCTCTAACTGGAAGTTCTGTTTAGTAATTATTATAATGCTCTAGAAAAAATGCTACATTCAACAATCTCATTACGAATAAAAAAAAATCTTTAATAATATCTGCAAAAAGGCACAGATATGGAACATGATTCATATATCGCTACATAACAATATGCTATAAAATATTCATTATGAAATTTAATAAATAAGTAACTACCTACTATCATAAGTGAAATAGCATAATATGGTCATGTAAAACATAATATGAAATAAAATTGATTTCAAGCTTGTCTGCCCAATTGCTTTCTAAGATCTCAGATCTAAAATTTATTGGTTAAGATCGGAACAAAAACTACACAAAAAAACTAAGCCGAATAGTATATATTAACTATTATTATATTAACTAAACGAGAACTATAAATTATTAAGCATTTTGTGATAGTTTTTAGCCCATAAATCCACGAGTGATATTGGCTATAATTATCTAACAAAAGAAAAACATGTTTATAAAGTTTAAAATATTTTAAAATATGATTTATATTGTTCTGAATGTTAAATGTAACGATTATATATAAAAGTCCGTATGGCGTACATTTCATAAAATCATGTTTTCATAACGGCGTAAATCTTTATTCTTATGCTGTTGATATATACGCTAACACACAAACACATATTCATGCTCAATACATTTGGCTATAACTTTCTCTATAAATGTATATCATAAATCAAAAATATTATATAGCATGGATAAGCATTACATTTTCATATCGATTTTACATTGCAATATAACACCTCCGGGCTTTGCTATGCTCTGTCTAAAAAGAAGATTAAAAATAATCTTCCTTCTCTCTTTAACACATCTCCTCTAACTATTTCACTTCGCATTTAAATTTGGCTTAGTAGTAAATTTATTACTGTAAAACCATGAAGCTCAAAAGCAATAAGTACCAAAATTTTATGTATAATTTTGGAATGTGACACCAAACACCAATGTAATGGTTAATATAATAAATGATATGAATTACTAATACAAATCACTGATATGTACCTAGGATATATGTGCCTACAAAATAAAACAAACACTTTTTGGCACAAATTATTAAGTATAATTTTTACCAACAGCCACTGATCGCTAATTCTATGACGGATTATCGCCCGTCTTCCCATTATATAAGAAACATTTCGTTATAGGTTACAACCTGTTTCGTTATGTACGAGGTTTATGTTGGAGACAATATCAATAAGAAACTGTTGATGCGACATTTTATTAAATTTTACCTTAATGACGAATGGTGACGAGAGTACAATTTGGGCACAATTAATATAAATCGATTTCAAAACAAAGTTCATTTTTGGTAAAGTATATTATATATATTATGTAGCCACAAATGTGAAATACTCGTACCCCGACCGATGATAAGAAGCAACGTCAAAAGTTCTAGGCTTCTGGTATTCCAATAAACAATCCAGTTACTGCCTTAGCAGTTAATTTTTTAGCGCTGGGCAAACAAGTCCCACCAGGTACCAATGATACAACCACCCCTCATTTTGTAAATAATTTATAAAAGAGCATATATCCATTCAGCATTTTGGCACGTTATAATAAATACTTTCTGCCACATCAGGACTTGTTCAGCGACCGCTTTTTCATTAGAATATGTTCTGAATATGTCCCTTGTTATTGATATACTCAAAAAAATGTTAATTTATCGGCAATACTATAGTAAATTGTGTAGACACAAAGTTCTTCATGCTGCAGTGGAGCAATATAGCGGAAAATGCTTTAAGCACTTTCATTATCATGGAAATTATTAGAAAAAATATCGTTATTTTTGTGCTTATGTTCCGTCGTGGTAAAAAGTTTCTACAGCGACTTCAAAAAATATTTCCTATTACTCAAAAAAGTTTGAAATGTTACAACAAAACGTTAAAGTTAATCTTATTATGACAGACTATGTACTCATCTGGTAGGCATATCGGTGCTCCACAAAGCGGAGCGGGAAAGCAATAGCTACCGTGGTATATATTCTAGGGGATACCACGCCACCGTCTCTTCTCTAAGCGGTATCGAGCTAAGTGGTATCACCACGCCGCCTAGAAACTGGTTCTCCTGCAGCGAGTCGTAATGCCACACTGTCGCCTGTAGGCTTCTGCTCCTGACGACTTCGAGCGGCAAGCGATATTCGAGCATCTCCATGAAGGACGGGTGCGAGTTACGTTTTAACACGCGCGTCTTCCGTTTCGTTTCTTTGGTAGGATCTGGTACCAAGTATACCTGTAAAATACGTTGTAAATGTTTTCATTTTCGGTCCTTGTCTGGTTTAACGGTTGGTTCGGTTACCAGGGGTTAACATTTGTCTGTGTTGTGGAGGTATAAGAGAATTTATTATTCTATTTCATTGCATGGGTTCCATAGGAAGCGTTTATAGCAAATGCCAGGGATATTTCATCGATTTTCGATAGATGGCGGTATAGATGGATATACCAGTTTGAAGACCTTTTAGCGGGTTTAGACTTCCGCCTCGCGCCTCGCCTTGTACCTCGCCTCGCAGCTCGCGTGTTGTTGCGAGGTAACGAGTGCCTGTTTACACTCTGGCGATGCATTCAGTTTGCGTTGAGCCAGCAACGATGAAAGACGTCGAAATAATAGCGGCATAAACTCTTGCCTTAATAAGTATATATCGATGCTTGATCATTTTAAAAATAAGGAAATTAAAAAAATGCGTCGTTGAGGAAGAATATGGTGGATGATATCTATTCATACATACAGAACCTTTTTCAGTTTCATAATTTTATATAAATTGCTAGTACCTATTGTGCAAGATTAAATAATATTATTTTATTAAAATTGTAATTTTAAAACAAAAGCAATTCGAATGTTATTATGGAAGGGCGCCGTAAACAAACTGAAACGAGAGCGCGAGTGTAAACACCACGCTCGCTTCCCTCGCGAGGCCCTTTGCCTCGTGCCCAAAAGACCGCCTCCGACGAGAGTGGCGAGGCGAGCCACGAGCTAGCGTTTAAACCCGCGCGCTCGCGCCTCGTGGCTCACCTGGCCACTCGCCTCGCCGCTCGCGCGAGAGTGTAAACGGGGGGTTACAGTTGTAAAACGAATGTATTTGAGCAGAACCACAGTGGGGATACTGCGGGGCAGGGGGCGGGCCGACTTTGTGCTAGCGCATTTCACTGAGTCTGCTATACAATACATACGGTTGGCGCGAGCGTGTTTTATAGCACTTATTTAACTAATTGTGTTAATAAAGTGTCGTTTTCGAAAAATATAATATCTATAATGGTGAATTACTATTAAAGTTATATGAGTTACTAAGTAAAGTTGAATAAGTTCCATTTTCACGATAACCCTAAAATACATACACACTGGCCGCGTTAATACCTAAGTGGGCGACGGCATCGCCTGACAGGTCTTTAAACTGCGGATATACCGTTTACGACAGACGTAAAATATCTAAACTGATGATAAAGGTGCGAGGTGTATGGTAAATGCGATCGTTAATCCGTCTGCTAAGCGTAAAGATTAAAGTAATTCCTACATACAAATATTCTCCTGTATATGTTTTCTTCTGCTAATAGTAAATTCAAATGAAGAAGGATAAGAGAATATCGACGGCTCGTGGCGACTACAGCGCGTGCAGGATCAGCACGGCCGGCACGGCACGGCACGGTACCTTGACGTATGGGTTGGGCGGCAGGCCCTGCGGCGCGGCGGGCAACGACTGCGCGTGCAGGATCAGCACGGCCGGCACGGCACGGCACGGTACCTTGACGTATGGGTTGGGCGGCAGGCCCTGCGGCGCGGCGGGCAGCGACTGCGCGTGCAGGATCAGCACGGCCGGCACGGCACGGCACGGTACCTTGACGTATGGGTTGGGCGGCAGGCCCTGCGGCGCGGCGGGCAGCGACTGCGCGTGCAGGATCAGCACGGCCGGCACGGCACGGCACGGTACCTTGACGTATGGGTTGGGCGGCAGGCCCTGCGGCGCGGCGGGCAGCGACTGCGCGTGCAGGATCAGCACGGCCGGCACGGCACGGCACGGTACCTTGACGTATGGGTTGGGCGGCAGGCCCTGCGGCGCGGCGGGCAGCGACTGCGCGTGCAGGATCAGCACGGCCGGCACGGCACGGCACGGTACCTTGACGTATGGGTTGGGCGGCAGGCCCTGCGGCGCGGCGGGCAGCGACTGCGCGTGCAGGATCAGCACGGCCGGCACGGCACGACACGGTACCTTGACGTATGGGTTGGGCGGCAGGCCCTGCGGCGCGGCGGGCAGCGACTGCGCGTGCAGGATCAGCACGGCCGGCACGGCACGACACGGTACCTTGACGTATGGGTTGGGCGGCAGGCCCTGCGGCGCGGCGGGCAGCGACTGCGCGTGCAGGATCAGCACGGCCGGCACGGCACGACACGGTACCTTGACGTATGGGTTGGGCGGCAGGCCCTGCGGCGCGGCGGGCAGCGACTGCGCGTGCAGGATCAGCACGGCCGGCACGGCACGACACGGTACCTTGACGTATGGGTTGGGCGGCAGGCCCTGCGGCGCGGCGGGCAGCGACTGCGCGTGCAGGATCAGCACGGCCGGCACGGCACGACACGGTACCTTGACGTATGGGTTGGGCGGCAGGCCCTGCGGCGCGGCGGGCAGCGACTGCGCGTGCAGGATCAGCACGGCCGGCACGGCACGACACGGTACCTTGACGTATGGGTTGGGCGGCAGGCCCTGCGGCGCGGCGGGCAGCGACTGCGCGTGCAGGATCAGCACGGCCGGCACGGCACGACACGGTACCTTGACGTATGGGTTGGGCGGCAGGCCCTGCGGCGCGGCGGGCAGCGACTGCGCGTGCAGGATCAGCACGGCCGGCACGGCACGACACGGTACCTTGACGTATGGGTTGGGCGGCAGGCCCTGCGGCGCGGCGGGCAGCGACTGCGCGTGCAGGATCAGCACGGCCGGCACGGCACGACACGGTACCTTGACGTATGGGTTGGGCGGCAGGCCCTGCGGCGCGGCGGGCAGCGACTGCGCGTGCAGGATCAGCACGGCCGGCACGGCACGACACGGTACCTTGACGTATGGGTTGGGCGGCAGGCCCTGCGGCGCGGCGGGCAGCGACTGCGCGTGCAGGATCAGCACGGCCGGCACGGCACGACACGGTACCTTGACGTATGGGTTGGGCGGCAGGCCCTGCGGCGCGGCGGGCAGCGACTGCGCGTGCAGGATCAGCACGGCCGGCACGGCACGACACGGTACCTTGACGTATGGGTTGGGCGGCAGGCCCTGCGGCGCGGCGGGCAGCGACTGCGCGTGCAGGATCAGCACGGCCGGCACGGCACGACACGGTACCTTGACGTATGGGTTGGGCGGCAGGCCCTGCGGCGCGGCGGGCAGCGACTGCGCGTGCAGGATCAGCACGGCCGGCACGGCACGACACGGTACCTTGACGTATGGGTTGGGCGGCAGGCCCTGCGGCGCGGCGGGCAGCGACTGCGCGTGCAGGATCAGCACGGCCGGCACGGCACGACACGGTACCTTGACGTATGGGTTGGGCGGCAGGCCCTGCGGCGCGGCGGGCAGCGACTGCGCGTGCAGGATCAGCACGGCCGGCACGGCACGACACGGTACCTTGACGTATGGGTTGGGCGGCAGGCCCTGCGGCGCGGCGGGCAGCGACTGCGCGTGCAGGATCAGCACGGCCGGCACGGCACGACACGGTACCTTGACGTATGGGTTGGGCGGCAGGCCCTGCGGCGCGGCGGGCAGCGACTGCGCGTGCAGGATCAGCACGGCCGGCACGGCACGACACGGTACCTTGACGTATGGGTTGGGCGGCAGGCCCTGCGGCGCGGCGGGCAGCGACTGCGCGTGCAGGATCAGCACGGCCGGCACGGCACGACACGGTACCTTGACGTATGGGTTGGGCGGCAGGCCCTGCGGCGCGGCGGGCAGCGACTGCGCGTGCAGGATCAGCACGGCCAGCACGCCGCCCGCGTACTGCACCGACAGCTTCAACGACCCCGACCCACTGCTCTCCGCCTCACGCGCCTCGCCTGCCAAATACAAACAATATATTATGCTATAAATATACCTAGCGACGGTATTGTAAAAGAGAGAGAGCAGTGTACGCGTATATTACAGCGAGAAAAATAGGCGAGACCATTACGTACACGCCATAGGCATGTATCGGGCTGAAGTCATTCGTGCAAAATGTCATAAGTGAAAATTATTATAACTTCGTAATGTTAAAAAAAAAATTGAACTATATGCGGCAGGTACCATGTTCTTCTCATAGCGGTGCACTAAGAGTACAAGTAGTAAAATTAATAAATTATTGCAACCGACTTCATTATAAATTATTAAGGATAACTCAAAAACTACTGGTCAGATCTTAATCAAAATTATATAGGACCACCATGAGAAACACCAAATTTTATATAAAAAAAGAATTGTTCATCTAGAAAAAAGTTAAGAGGAAACACACATACAAAAGAATTAAAAAATTCAACCGAATTGAGTACCTCATCCTTTTTGAAGTCGGTTAAAATTTTACGTTCTGGCAATACCCACATTGTGCTATTTTTTAACTATCCTACCATAAACACCTATTAATAAAGTTAAATATTGAAACTTATTTTATTATTATAATAAAATACTTTACAGGAGAGCTTACGACATTTTTAGATAAATTAGTTCTCTTTGAAGTAAAATATAAATCTTCACTTGTTTGTACTTATTTTCCCTAAACACTGACCTCTATTAAATAAGTACGCTGGACTGATTAAACACCGTGACATAATGAGGTGATTTGATTTTCGCCATTTTGGCGCTGATAGCAGGAGTGAGCGTCCACGGAAATAATTATAGGACAGTGTGACAAAAATTCTATACCCAGGCTTACCATCCCATTTGCGTATCATTTTAATAGAATGCCATACAATAAGCAATTATACTATCTTAGACAGAACCTTTATAACTCGTATAAAAAAAATCGACATCGTGTTAGTCTGTCTACGTTTTTCTATAGCCCGGGTTTTGTTCTTTTGGGTATGTATTGTTCATTCGAGAGGTTTAAAAGGTCCAATGAGTATGAAAAACTAGAAAAAAAAAACTAAAAAAAAAATATTTTGTAAAGAATTTATTGCTTACTATTTATTTAGTCCTCGTAATACTCGTAGTAATCAACAAGCTGCCAAAATATATGAATATTTCAACAATATCTATAGGTACAGTTAGAATTTTCCAAACTTTAATTTAAAAAAAAAAAATACCACAATCACTGACATCATAATCAATTTGTTTCGGACGCCAATTTACAAGTTTTATACTTTTGCGTTACAGTTTTAATATAGAGTCAGTTGAAAACCTGTAAATTTATTAAAAACATGATAATAATCTTTTGTTAGCGTTTTTAATTGTTTTACACAGATATAGGTAGAAAAAAAACATCGATAAGTATTCATCATCATCATTACAGCCCTTCACAAGTCTACTGCTGAACATAGGCCTCACCCAAGGAATACCACAAAGCACGGTCCTGAGCCACCTGCATCCATCGACTTCGTCATTACATCGATCGTCACTCTATTTAGTGAGGGGGCGCCCTACACTTCGTCCGCCTGTACGAGGCTCTAGAACCTTTTTTCCCCATCGCATCGGTTGTCGCATCTTCGAGCTATATATACCAATCCATTGGGCTATGTCGGTCACTCTGGTCCTACTACGGATATCCTCATTTCTATGTTTATCACGCAGAAAAACTCCGAGCATAGCCCGCTCCATAGCTCGCTGAGCGACCTTGAGCTTCCTCATCCGGCCAGCAGTGAAGGGCAACGTCTCAGTTCCATAGGTCATCACTGGCAACACGCACTGGTTGTACACTCTTGTTTTCAAGTTTTTGGGTATCCCTGACGAGATGATGTGCCGTAATTTCCCGAACGCTGCCCAGCCGAGTTGAATCCGTCGATTGACCTCTCGGTCGAGGTTGTACTTACCTAGTCGGACTGTTTGTCCCAGGTAAACATACTCGTCAACAATTTCGAGCTTAGTGCTCCTAACAACTACCGGTATCGGTAACATGGACGTTATACATGATCTTCGTTTTGTCCATGTTCATCTTAAGACCTATCCGTTGGGAGGCACTATTGAGGTCATGGAGCATAGTGCTTAGGTCCTCTAGCGATTAGCAAAAAGTATTCTAGATACTATTAATATTTATTTTAAATCTTTTCAAAATACTCTCTATCATGCTCTATACAAAGTTTCATTCGCCTAAACGAACTCTGAAAACACTTTTGCCTAGTTTTGCGTTGAAGTCTCCCATTGACACCGTATAGTGGGTTTTGGAGGAATAAATGGCTCTAGATATAGCCTCATACATTTCCACCACCTCTTCGGGACGTGCCGAGGTTGGTACATAAGCCAGTATGACCTTCAGCGAATACCGTTTGGTGAATTCTGAGTTAATCATGGGGGTGTATTGCCATAGTTGCCACGCTTGGCGAGCGGGTTGGCAACCGCAGTTTTTTTATTGTTGTTTTGCTGTTATCAGAACTGCTGCTGTCCATCTTCTGCCTCAGTTTCCCTCTGTCGCTTCTTACGACACCCACGGGAAGATATGGGGTAGTGGGTATTCTTACCCGCTACTACACGGGCATATCATAAGGGATAAGTATTATCGACAAGGAAATCGTCAATCCTATTAAATTATGTGGTTTATCAAAAACAGGTAATTTAAAGGCAAACATGTTAGTACTTACATTTCATAAGATAAGTGACAGATTTTTAGGAGCCTGTATTATCAAATAGTATTTTTTTAAATATAAACTGTAACTCCCTTTACTTGTGGAACGTACACTTTTCTTCTGGTAACATATTTTACATTATCATTGCTACTAAATTTCTTTTTTTATATTACTATCATGAAACATAACCGAACTACACATCACACACTCTTTTTCTCATTTAAAACTTTATAATATTCTTAGACGTTTTGAGCAAAACAACGGCCATTTTCAAATTATGTCAAATTTAGTTCCCGGTACACTCGATGGCGGCGCTTCAAATCGGCACAAACGTTTTGTAGGGTATAGCTAGTCCAGCGTACTAGTATATATGGAGGTCAGTGTCCCTAAATCATAATGAAAAGTTCAAAATTAAAACCCAATTCAAACATAAATATTTACCACCTAAATCACCATAGTTGCGAATTTGTATAACTAAATGGTTATGATGGCAACTATGGCGAAATCTACCCTACGAGGCAATCTAACGACGTGTGGTTACAGCTACATATAAACTCATTTTATTTTAATAATAAATTATAACAATAGGTAAGGGCTAATCTGAATATTTTTCGAAATATATATATATATATATCTCGGAAAATACATGTTATGTGTTATATATATATATAACACACAACGTGTTTTTAAAACTTTATATTAACAGTTTTTGAAGTTCTTTCTGCCTGGGAGTTCGTCTTGGTGGTATCACCCTCTTACCTAGTATTCCATCCACGCATTTCATCTTAGTCTAAGGACTGGTGGAGGGACGGAAGATGACGACGCATCTGTAGCCTTCTTTGTTTGAAGTTGGCTGCAGGTGCCCATGAGCTAAAGTAGCCCCTTTCCATCATCAGGTGGACAGTCAGTTCGTTGATCATTTCAGTTTTATAAAACAAGTTAACTAATGAATACTATGTAGTTGACATTTTTAGTACATATATTTTTGAAATGTCGAAAACATTCCGAATTACATTTTTTGTTCGATGCCAAACACGATAACTCAATCTTTATTTAAATTTTGGCCATCATCACTCAAGGTGACGGCGACTTTTAGGACGATGGCTTTAGGGGTCTCCAGTCACATATAGAGAAAATTGGCTGTGGTTGATGTTCATGAGAATTTACTAAGTTAAAAAGCTGACCTCTGTTCTTCATCCTTTGCGGCTCGACATCCTGCTGGTCCCGTAACAACGGGTGGAAGAACGTGTACACGAGGTCGGAGTGCGCGATCTCGTCGGCGAGACCGAACAGCGAACTGAGGAAGGCTTGCACGTCGCCCAGCCGCCGCTCGGCCACCTGTCGAGTGTTCGAGCGACCCACGTGCAGTCCAGATGGCAGGCTATGGACACACAGATGATTTTATTTTATAGTATAGGAGGCAAACGATAATATGACGAACCTGATGGTAAGTGAACACCGACGCCCATGGCTATTATAGACTTTTGTTATTTTTATATTAAGAACGCAATATGTCGTTTAACTGATGACTGAAACGAGCACACAGTCTACCTAATGGTATGTGGATGCTGTGATCCATAGGCATCTACATCTATCCTCGATTAAGGATCAAAATGCAAATGGGTTGTCACCCCTCACGACTAAGATGAAATGACTCGATACCAGTAAAAAGGGGCTCCGGTTTCACTATACTCACCATACGACACAGCAGCATTAAGCGGGTATTTTACGCTGATATTCTGTGAGAGCGTGGTCTTTCCCCAGTCGAGCCGACCCATTCGTGCTACAACTACAAACTAGCTGCAGTGTAGCTCTACCTCGTAAAAAATATATATAAAGTAGTCTTGCAACGAATATTCGGCTATTATTCAGTATTCGGCCTATTGGGCTACTTTTATCCTATTCAGCCGAATACCGAATACTTAAGTAAGAGGTTTTATTGTAGTCAGATAATTGGTAAAATGAAAATATTTATTTATAATTAAATTATAATCAACTTCTCTTCAAAAACTCGTGTTTTATATAAATAAATTATTAGAGACAAGCATCTAGATCCAAACTAATATTTATTCTTTCGGGAAAAGCATAAATAAAAAATGTTTATTGATTGATATTTTCTGATGGTATAAAGTTGATAATCTTTTTATGATGATATAAAGTTGATAAGCTAAAAATATTCATAATCTAATATATAAAAATTAGTTTTTGTTTATTCGTATTTTCTGCCGACTTCCAAAAAGGAGACGGTACTCAATTCGACGCGTATGTTTTTTTTTTTGTGTGCTACCTCATAACTTTTTACTGGGTGGACCGATTTAGATGATTCTTTTTTTATATGAAAGCTGATACTTCTCGTGTGGTCCATATTGATCAAGGTCAGACCAATAGTTTTTGAGTTATTCTTAATAACTTATATTGGAGTCGGCTGTACAAAATTTTTAATTTTTAATTATATTAGCTGCCATATCGTTCATCAGATTACAGTAAAAATTTGTAAACAAATAGCGTGCATTTGCGCGAAGGTTATAGGCATAGTAGAATTAACTTACAGTAGGTGGCGCGCGCATCGTACCGACTTTGTTTGAAAGTTACATATCATTCCACATTTATTTCATTTCAACATTCCTAATCAAACAATACAACTCTTCCAAATTTAAAACGATATTTCCACAATTATTTCTTCTGCGAGCAACGTGCCGGTTACCAGCTAGTTTAATAAAACATTCGCATCTGATAATCATAATATTGATATTATCTTAATAAACAATTTCAAACGCAGTAGCAAATTTCGATTACTATCTATTACAATACATGTAACTTCGCAACCTGTGTTACAGTGCCTCAAGTGCGCAAGATAAAAAAGCCTAATATGTGTTTATTTTGACTTATATAATTTTGCATGTCATCACGTGTCGGATGTGCGCGACATGACCTAGTTCAAGCATTTTATAATTGCAATTAAATATTTTATTTGATAGCAATTGATGGAAAAATTGGCATAATTAATGGAGTACTTTTATCTGTCGGCATATTATGTATGATGTAGAGCGAAGTTAAGTTTCAACCACTTTCCCTCCCCCTCCCGGTTGAGCCTCCCCCCCCTTCACAGAAAGTGTTCCGAAGCGCGGTTTTTCCCAGTTTTAAAGAAAACCGTACACGACACATGAAAAGTGTGTAGGCATGAAATAATTCTTGAGCTATCAAACTCTTATACTTATTAATCAATTAAATTTCTAAAATACCATAGCAACGTGAAATAGATGAGTTCAGAAATAAAGATGTAACTAATCATTGTCATAAAAGTACTCAATTAATTTTTAATTTATTTTAGCTATAATGATTGAACTAACCTCGCTCTTAGAAGCTTTCTATACTGGCTTCTCTCAGTTCTCACTTCCCACCGGCGGCTAGGGTTTATGCGTCGCTCGCGCGCCCAGCCAAGTATTGAATTATTTTAATTTTACATTATATCTTAAACTATGCGTCCAAATAACGTGGTATAAAGAACAAAGTTTATCTTCATAAAATTTTCTTGATGATGAAGTAACTTTCGTTCGTAAGGATAAATAGGCCATGCCTAATAATAACGCTCATAAATCACTTTTAAATTTTCAATATTTTTTGTCACAAAATACCTAATTATGGCTTATGTATAAGAAATAGACGTATGGTATCGCGGACTTTTTTTTAGACGGAGTAAAGATCTATATTTTTCTAGAACATTGTATTTACGTATCCATAACGATAACACCAGCGTACACGGATAAATAATTTCGGGAGTGCTCTTTCTTCTGACTTGCTTAACAAATTTCCATATTTAAGGCTAGCTGAGTGATAAAGCTTAATGCTAGATAGCCTATACTATTCCACATAAATTTAGCTATAATATACAAGAAGAATTTTTAAAATCGGACAGGTAGTACCAGAGATTAGCGCGTTTAAACAAACAAAAAAACAAAAAACTCTTCCGCTTTATTATATTAAGTATAGATTGGAACAAAGTTCCTTATCGCGCGATACGAATTTGACGGATGTGGGCTAGGCGAGAAAAAGTGTAAGATTTTTCCGTCCCGAACCCCGAACGAGATGGAATAATACCCATCTCCCTCGCAATTTTTCTTATCTTGCCATGAAAGAAATATTGTTATTTTAAATTATGCTTCATTTAAATAGACGCTAGTAATTCATTTATTTGTATTTGTTAATCAATAACATAATACGTTTATCAATAATAAAATGTACTACGAAAGGAACTTCGTTCCAACCAAGTGTTCCACGACACTCACGCATGTTTTTTTCATGTGAAATTAATTTTGCAATTTATTGAGATACAATAGATTTCGAGAGACTATAAATTTAGTACTATCAAAATTAATTAAAGTCGAGTCTTTTATCTCATGTATTGGACGCTTAATTATAAATAAGTTACCTATAATTATTGACCATCAGTTTTCTTTTTACATAATCCATTACCTACAGCCTTTAAAAGTCCCCTGCTGAATATTGGACACCTACAGAGTGCCTCATAGGAGGAATTTTGCCATAGTTGCTACACTTGGCAACCGCATTTTTTATTATTATGAGTTGTTATCAGAACGATGCTGCCGATCTTCCGTTTTAGTTTCCCTACTTCGCTTCTTACGACACCCACGGAATTATATGGGATGGTGGATTCTTTTAAATAAATGGTGTCAAAATATTTTCATTCTAAATAATTTAAAAAAATTGTGTCACTATTACTCCGGTAGATTTTAAACAATTGTATAAGATTATAATATTTAAATTAGCATCTTATTTTAGGTTGTACAATATTTTCCAAAACATTCCAAAGACGTACTTAAATAGGGCAGCTACTGTTTATAATATCTAAAGATCAATATCATTTGAGTAGAACTATCGTACCAACACTAATTGATCACAAGATAATTATTAAATTTCGCGGACATGCTTCCATGCGCTCGACACGATAAGTTAGAATAATTTGTAAGAGATAAGATTGCATTATTCGTAGCTGACACTTGACGTAATCTTATCGTGAATATCGTAAGTATTGATTTGAACAGTAATGAAACAAGCGCATTTGGCGACACAAACAAAAATATTATCAAAACATATTATTAAATGGTGGTAATAATTAACCTCGACGTTGGTAAGTCCAAGTTTAAATTATCACTACATCGTAAGCCGTTAAAATAATGCAAAGTTTCGGGCGCTATCGATATTGCGAGTTGTCAAACTTTCCATGAATTTTATTTACAGATACATATGGAACGACATAGCTACTTATTTTCTGTGCCTTAATGTGTTCAATCACTATGTTCAAATTAAGAGGATTCAAGGCTTCATTTAATTTACTATCGGGAAAGAAGAGCAACAAAGACCAGTTTGAAAGCACTTCTGATGCAACAACCTTGGGTGTTTACAGGAGTAACCGAGAAGATTATTATGGTAAGATATTATGTGTTAAGTGATAATGTAATGGTGTAAAGGTAAAATGCCCTCCAATGACACAATCTATAGGGGAGGCTTATGTTTAGTTGTGGATTTTTATAAGTGTTTACAGAAAGAAAATTATTACCTACAGTACATATTTTTCTAAGAATGCGAAATAAACAGTTCGAATATACAGGCTTATTTTTCAATAACCGGCCAAATTTACAGAGAAGGTTCAGAATAAGCAGTATAGGCAAATGAGGAAGAAAAATTAATTTAAAAAGCTCATATTCTATACTTTTTATCTTTTAAATTCAAAATGCGTGGTAATGCATTATTTTAACTGATTTTACTGCGCACGCAAACTTTTGTAGGAGTCGATCGGTAGACAAAAACGTTGTTGCTCATAAATTACATTCAATTTGAGATAATTTCAAATAATAGTAGAAGCCTTATTTACTCGTATTTTCATAAACTGCAATAACGGTATATCATTATTTATATATTTGAACTTAAGTTTAAAATTTGGCTACTCATTATAAACAGAATGAAATTTTGTAATCATTGGCATACTTTTATTACTGTTTGTTCACTATATTGAAAATAAAAAAGAAAAAATAATTATAACAAAAAAAAGATTACATCGTGAACTATGAAAATGTTGTAATACAATTCATCATTCAGAGACAAGTAAGAACAAAAGCAAATTCAGGATCGCATATACATATAATAAGTATTCGAAACAAATTACAAAGACCTAATTTACTTTAAATTATTCCCCAACATGAGTAGAACTATGAATTCAACGGATGCCAACTACTGCTATGTTATACAACTATATATACCAACTTCAATTTCACACAGTAGATAAGTGTTGACTAGTTACTAACGTTCACTTCACTGAACAACTTCAAAGATACGAAACCTTAATGACGAAAGTAGCCCAAA